CCATTAAAAAATGACCAGGTAGACGTATGAATAATAAACAATATCCAGTGATGTATAAAATTTCTATGTTCGTTCAAAAGCTAGATCTGGGAGGTAGATGCCCTGTTAGTATACACATCCTGGCTAGGTTTAGAGGATGTTCATCCATAAACATCTCAGGCACATCCACAACAAATAACAAATATGAACAGTTACCCTTCATTTTAAGTCCAAGTAGTTTCTGACGCTCTGGTAACACTCCAGTAAGGCCTTTAAGAGACTGCTTCAGATCCAACACTGTGTCTTCTTCTGATAACGAGGTTATTGTATACTCCTGTCCACCCCATTTTATTATGAGAGAGAGAGACATCCTTGAAGCATATGTTCAGTATTATTTTCTGAAAAATCTGCTGCAGGAGGAAAATACAATGATCACGTAAGGAAGAAATGGAATCACTCTTTTCAGAAGACAAACCATACAGTCTGTTTAAAGTATTTTTGATTTTTTATTATATTGTACATCAAAGAGCTGTTTGTTTTGCATGAACAGATGATTAACGTGTTGATAAGATGTTGAAACTAAGGGTGAAAGAACAGTGCTAAAACTGGGGCTCCAAGTTCCACTTCAATGTATTTAGCAATGTCACATTCACCGTTTGCTCCAGCATATGCTCATTTGCTGTGTGTTCTGTGCAGGTACAGCCTGTTCACTGCACAGCCGGCACCCATGCAGAGTACTGCAGTATCATAAAAGTCATTTCAAATCTCAGAAATGTCCTCTGCGATAATTACACAACCGAACCAGCCATGGATATTCACATATGTAACAATAAAACAGCAAATATGAAACACCTAAAATATATAAAACCATAAAAATAGTTCTGAACCCAACAGTTCATTTTTAGCATTGGATTTCTCTAATCACTTTCACTCTGTAATACCTGCAATAATATGCACCCCAGGTCATGTCTCACTTTAGCAATATCAAAGCAGGAGTTTGAAAACACAGCTAAAATACACACCTACACAATGCAATTACACTGTAAGAACTGCACTTTCATTGCAGTGCTGACAAAACAACCATAATTATACTATCTTTAATTTACACAGCATCGCTTATACAAATCGTGTTTAACAGTTTAGTCCTACATTAAACACAGCAGAGAAACAAGATTTTTAGCTTTATGTGGAAAGGAGAAGAACATGTTTTTTCTCTTAAAGCTTGGAAACAGAGAATCAAGGAGGTAGAAAGGTATGAAAAGGCTGCCAGGAGATGCAGAGAAGGCCTCTGCACCACTGATAGTGAGATTGTCCTCGAAAGATTGATATTCAAAAAGAAGAGAGCAGACCTATGAAAAAAACTGAGGCTATCCACCTTCAAAAAATGCATTACACCAAGAAATACAGATCTGTCAATTCTGAAAAAGTCTCAGAATCCAAAAATCTGATTCCTCTTCCTGTCTAGCATTGTATTCTCAGAAGTTACCTGCTCTCAGACAAAATACTTCTCATTTATACAGTACAGCCTATTAGGAATGAACAAGTAATTACTCAGGCATACCCACCAAGCTCAGACCAGATGAGAAACAGAGGGCTAGATGCAACCTGCTTGCTGAGGACACTACAAGCCACACCTCCAAACTATTCCCTCTAAAAGCTCTGAAAACAAATTGAAGAGGAAGACTGGTATCGCAGGAAAAAGAATTTTTTTTTTCCTTTTTTTTTTTTTCCTTTTTTATCCCAAATATCCCTAAATCAGATAGGGACCTGGTATTACCCTGTGAAAAAGACTCATGAAAAAGGGGTCTTAGAAGCACCAAGAAATTCAGCTGAGGTTAAGGCTGCATAGTGTCAAGCAATGTTGATACATAGGATCATTATCATAAATTATCCCTGTCCATAATCCTTAGACTACAGAAAGAAGAGTTTATTGTCTGTTTTCTTGCCTGTACCATACACCTCAAATAATTCTGCAAGAAAATGCTGAGGGCAAGAACTGTAAGAAAACTTCTCAAGTCTCTGTCCAGTGCTAAATTAAAAAGACCATCCCTCCAGAGTTAAGCACTTGACCAACCATCTATCCTTATTGAATTACAGTCCTGTCAAGATGAATGTTATCAGAAATGCCAAGCAGAAATAAGACACCTTTATCCAATGCCAAAACACTAAGGGGACTGAGTGCAGACACCATAATTGATGATTACAGGAAAACAGATTAGGAGCACAGAAAATCACAGGGATTTTCAAAGTTTCTATCACCACGGCTGGACACCTCATGAATCTGAAGCTTACTGAAATGAAGTTTGCTTTGATCAATTCCATTTTCAGGGCCTTTACAAGCCCCTTGGACCACCAAGAGCCTACAGGTTGAAAGGCCACTGGGTCAAAGAAAGTGTTAAAGTTGTGTTGTTGTAGTTAAATTGTTGCATTACACCACTTGGAAGAGAGACATCCACACCTTTAATTTTCACTATGCAACGTAAACCCCAAACATAAACCCCCCAAACACACCAAGTGCAATACTGTGCAGGCAGGGCCGCAACACTTTCTACCACACCGCAACAGGTGGAGGAACGGGGTTTCAAATCGGAAGCTGCTCTGTGCCAGCCACCACCGCCAACACGTCTCTGGACAGCAGCCGCACGAACACAAGCCGAGGTTCGCTTCCCCCCGCTCCGCCGCCCCCGTCTCCCGTCGGGGCTGTCCCAGCAGCCAGACGGGGCGAGCCGAGCGGGGAGAGCCCACACGCTGCTGCCGGCCCCGGCGCCCGGGGAGCCGCCCCCGCCCCGCAGACGTTACGGGGCCACCGACCCGGCCGAGACAAGCGCCCGCCCTGGGCCCCCGACCCGCGGCCGGCCCTGCCTCACCCCGGCCCGGTAAAGCCCGGCCTCCGCCGCACACGGACGGGCTCGGGCCCAGACCCACCGGGCTCCCCCTGCGATCGGGGGGGGGCACGGCGGCCCTCCCCCGCAGCCCACCGGGGCGCAGTGCCGCCGCCGATCCGCCGCCACCCCCCTCCCCGTCCCTCGGCAGCGCGATGCGGCCCCCTCACCCTGGCAACGGAACCGGCGCCGTCCCGGGAATCCGCCGCACCGGAAGCGGAAATGGCCCCCACCGGAAGCGAGGGGGGGAGGCAGCGCGCGGCGCCCGCAGCCGCCCGGATGTGCGCGGGTTCCCGCCTCGGCGGGCGGCAGCGTCGCCATGGCAGCGCGGGGCGGGGCGATCCCGCCTGTTCGTGTACCGGGCAGGCTGCGAGGCGAGGGAGAGTTTTCACCTTCTTTAAGGAGAAGAACAGCTTTCTTGGTATGCCCGCCTGAGGAGAGCTCCTCGGGGCTGCTCCAGTCGGGTTCGCGCAGGAAGTCGTGGTTTTCTGAGGTAAAATCCACGGCAGTCCACGGAGAGAGCGTCCTGCCCGGGCCCCCGCGCTCCCCTCACCGCCGGCTGTGAGGCTGAACTGCACTGGGGGCCCACCAGAGCTGAGCTTGGGCCCCAGGGAGGCCAGTAGAGGCGAACTCCACATGCAGCTATTGCCACCCGTGTCTCTTTTGCATCATTAACCCTGAAAGGAGATTGCTCTGTACCCAGGGAGCCTGACTCAAATCTTTCTTAGCTTCTAAGCTGACTCTTTACAGGCATATTAGCTTTTTGTGTCTGTTGAATCGAGGGTCGCTTCTCAGCTACCGTGGGGACTCTTGGGAACTGGCTTCAGCTGCAGTGGTTTTGTGCATGGACAACAGATGTAGAAGAGAAAAATGTATTTTGCACAAAGATGGCCTTTTGCGCTCAGGCATTCTGCTTTGCAGAAATAGTTGAAAAAAAATTGTTCTGTGGTAAAGTCTGGTTTCTTATATCTGTGAAATGAAGTGGAGATGATACAGACTGCAGTTCCCCTTGGCATCAGTAGAGACGGTGTTAGATTTGAGGTAGGAAGTGAAAGTTTCAGTCCTTCTGTTGTCTGAAAAGCAGATTCAGCAGCCGGTGTGCAATGAGCCAAAAATCATACACTCAGGAGAGACATTATTTATTTCATATTTGCACAAAGACGGGTGCTAGGTCTGTGGTCTTTGTGGTAATTCCACAAAGCTAACGCACCCTACAGTTAAACAAGCAAGCAATTTATACAGTTTTAGATTCACCCACTTAGTTTCCAAAGTCATTTCCCAAAATCATTATTGGTAGTTGCTTATCTGCCACCATTTCTATTGGGCTGAGGTTTTCTCCACTTCACGTTAAAGGTACAGTGTTCTTTTATTCTACAGTGCATGCTCAAGGAGCGGAGAAGGGGGTAAGTCTTTTAGGTCTTGGATTGAGTTGGTGGCCATGGTCTCCCCCTGCTGCCTTTACCTTCCCCCCAGTTACTGCAGATGTCCACTGACTTCATGCCCATTATCAATTACTCAACTTTCAGCGCCTTCTGGGGCAGGATGATCCCTTCTTATCCGTCTTTTAATTCTTCTTCGAGGTTCCTCAAGGCCCAATTCCTTGGTTAAAGAATGCTAGCTGCTTTCTTCTCTGATTACAAATGATTAAGTGTCTTTAGACTGTCAGCTTAATATATACAAAGAACATCTTGCATACAAAGAAACAGATCATTTCACATTTTTAGGTTAATCCTCAACAATTCCTCTGTTTGAGACTTGTATGAATACTCTTCATATAAGTCTCATTCTAAATGTAACGGTTTAGAACTACATTTAAAAATGCATTGTATGTTTACATAGATAGAGACAAATATCACTACTACAACTATTAAGATTGTTACCAATTTCTTAACCCATACACTTAAATCAGGGAACCAGGAAGTCAACCATCTAAATACTTCTTTCACTCCAGTGGAAGTGTCATCCTTTTGGACTTTGTGTAATATCTGGGTTTGTTTCCAAATTTCATTCAAATCTGTAGAGATTTGTCCACTTTGATCTGTATGTATACAGCAGCTGGTGTTAATTACAGTGCACACCCCCCCCCCGAGAAGGTAACAACATATCCAATGCTATCTTGTTCTGAACAGCTATATCAGTAGCCTTGGATACCTCTTCTTGTAAAGCTTTGATGGCATCAGAAGTCTCGTTCCCTATTTTTTCAATAATGGCTGAAATGTTCGGTATTGCCTTCTCAAGTTCACTAACGCCTAACCAAGGGAGGAACCATCTTGCAAACGAATGGAAGCAGGTAGGTCAATCGATTAACGGGTTGCAGCTTCAATATCTTCTCATATATGTTCATACCCATAATCCAGCTTTGATCTCATTTATTACTGTTACATTAGGAACAATTGCACCCAAAGTGCAAGTTCCTGACCAATTCGGAAGCAATACCTTGCATGCCTTATTTCCACGTAACCAATACCAACCACTACCCTTCATGACATGCCATCCACTTTGTTCTTTGCTAGGCCGTTTGTAACCAATTTCTGGTATTTGGGAACAGTTCTCATAGTTTCCTATAAAAACAGCTCTCACAATTAACAGGCTGCTTCCCATGTAGTAGAGTTTTCTCCTACCATCTGTTATCATTATTACATCTTCGCAAACATTGATAATAATCTCCCACCAAATGATGAACTTCCCATCCTGGATCTGCATTTTCATTGTATATAGTTTGATTGCTGTCATTCCTTACATGTCTAATGAATTCTGAAAATGAGAAATTAAGTGGTATCCCTACTAAAGGAAGGCCCTTATTCAAATGCTCTGGAAAATGGGTGCGCACCCAGCAATTTGTTCTAGTTGCCACTTTCTTCGATTTTTCAATTATTCCCAAATGGAGGTTCTTTCCTCACGGGGCATCATTTCCTTCCTGGTTCCCTTGACTCACCTGATTCATGCAAGTGAGAAAAACTAACCACAACATTCTTCCCATTACTAGGCTGTAAAAAGGTAGTAAACTCGTACAAATACCACAAAAATAGTATTAAGATAATTCCCATAAGACAATATAAAAACACCTCCCCTTGCGTACACTCTAAATGCAGGATGGACTTTATATTAATCCAAGTAGACTTCATGTATCTCCGTGTATTTTCAGCTTCAAAGGTCCAGTTTCCTCAAATCTTCACATTTTAGGAGGTGCTGTTTTCACTTGGGTATAGTGAATCCATGAGTCAATTCCCTGCAGCTTCACAGCAGTATTAGTTGACAGCAATACCAAATAAGGTCCTTTCCATTTTTCTTCTAGTGGCTCTCCTTTCCAAGTTTGTAAATATACTTGATGTCCTGGTTTAAATGAATGCACAGGCAAGTCCAAAGGTACAGGAGTTCTTATTTGGATATACCTGTGAAGGGAAGAAAGAACTCTTGCAAGGACAAGAGGTAATCACTAAGTATCTGGTCACCTTTTAGGCACATTTGATTTCCTTTTCCAGTTAAATTTGTTAGATAAGGTTTTCCATAGAAGATCTCAAAAGGGCTAACCCCTTCTCTAACCCTTGGAGTAACTCTAATTCTTAATAAAGCTAGCGGTAAAACTTCAATCCATTTCATGTGTGTTTCCTGACACAATTTACTATTTGTCTCTTCATTGTTTGATTCATCCTTTCTACCTTCCCGCTCAACTGCGGCTTCCATGGGGTATGCAAGTCCCATTTGATTTGTAAAAATTTGGATACCCCTTGGACTACCTCTGCTACAAAGTGCAGTCCTCGATCTGAGGAGAACCCTTCTGGCACTCTGAATCTCGAATGATTTCTTTCAATAAAACCTTTCCCACTTCCCTTGCCTTGTTGCTGTGACATGGGAAAGCTTTGGGCCATCCTGAAAAAGTATCCACAATCACCGGTAGATATTTATATCCCTTACAACTATGTAGCTCAGAAAAATCGATTTGCCAGTTATCTCTAGGGGTAAGACCTTTTCTTACCTCTCCTAGGGGGGCCTTTTCTGAATTTTAGGATTATTCTTTAAACAAACTTCACATTTCTGTACAATCCCTTTAGCTATTAACAACATATTAATTCCCACAGCATATCGTCTGGTTGCCTCAAGCAAAGCTTCAACTCCCATGTGTGTACTTTTATTCGTCCTTTCCATTAGCTCCTTCATTATAGGCAAAGTTACCATACACTGACCAGTCAAGGTTACCCACCATCCTTCTGGAGTCTTCTTACATTTTAGTAATTCTGCAAGTCTGTTTTCCTTTTTGGTGTATAGAGGTACTTCAATTTTCACAACTCTTTCTGGGATTAATGCTACTATGTTTATTGATAAAGCTGCCCTCTTTGCAGTCTCATCGGCCTTTTTATTTCCTTTAATTACATCAGTACATCCAGATTGATGGGCTTTGCAATGTATAACTGCTATTTCTTTAGGCTTGTTAACAGCATCAAGCAGTTCCATAATTTGTCTGCCATATTTTGTGGGGTTCCCTTGTAGGGATAACAATCCTCTTTCTTTCCAAATTGCACCATGAGCATGTATTACACCAAAGGCATATTTTGAATCAGTATACACATTAACTCGTTTTCCTTCTGGTAATTCCAAAGCTCGAGTTAAAGCAATCAGTACAGCTTTCTGGGCAGATGTTTTTACAGGCAACGGTTCCACTTCTATTTCCTTCTCCAAAGTTGCAACAGCATACCTGGCCTTCCCCTCCTCTTTACTTACAAAGCTGCTTCCATCAGTGAATAGCTCCCAGTGAGGATGTTGTAAAGGGGAGTCCTTTAAATCTGGATGGCTAGAATATACTTGCTCAATGGTCTGTAAACAGTCATGTATTAATCCTTCTTCTCACGAGGGCAACAATGACACTGGAATTAAAGTATTAGATATTTTCATTACCACATCCTCTTGTTCAAGCAGTATTGCTTGATATCGTACCATCCTGCTTGGAGACAGCCAATGATGTCCTTTTTGTTCCAAACCAGTTATAACTGCATGTGGCACATATAAACAGTGATTCTTTGTCCCGTTGTTAACTTCTGTGCCTCTTGTATTAACATCACTGCTGTGGCTACCACCCCCAAGCATCCTGGCCATCCAGAGCTTACATTATCCAGTCGTTTCGAAAAGTAAGCTAGTGGTCTTTTCCAGTCCACTAAAGTTTGCACAAACACTCCCACCGCTTGATGTCCTTGTTCATGCATATAAAGCTCAAAAGGCTTTGTCAAATTGGGGAGGCCTAGTGCAGGTGCCCTCATAAGCGCAACCTTTATATCGTCAAACCCTTTTTGACATTCCAGAGTCCATTGCAACACTTCTCCTGGTGCCTTAATAGCCTCATACAAAGGTTTAGCCATCAATCCAAAATTAGGTATCCAAAGGCGACACCACCCGGCCATTCCAAGAAATCCTCCTAACTCTCTTTTTGATTTAGGTGGGGCAATCTGACAAATTGCTCCCCTCCTCTCAATCCCCAGGTTTTTTTCTGCCGAGTTCTTACCTTGCCATTGTTCCAATTCCTTTGCTAGTACATTACCAAAGATGATGGGGCTATTCTTAAATCCTTGGGGAAGTACTGTCCAACGTAACTGCATCTTGCATCCTGTTGTAGGATTCTTCCACTCAAAGGCAAACAGTTTTTGACTCTGTTCTTCCAGAGGAATACAAGAAAAGGCATCTTTTAGGTCCAGAACTGTAAAATAAACATTAGAATCAACTGTTGCATTCAGCAGAGTGTACAGGTTTGGTACCACTGGATGGACATCAGTCGCTGTTTGATTAATAGCCCTTAGATCTTGTACTAGACAATATTCCTGAGAATGTGGCTTTTTAACAGGTAGAATAGGGGTACTATATTCAGATTGGCATTCTCATAGCAGTCCATGCTTCAAAAAGTTATTGTAGGTTCCAGTCCCATGCAAGCTTCTAATTTCACGGAGTACTGTTTATGTCTTACCAGCTTCATGTCCTGTTTTAATTCCACTTTTACTGGTTTGGCTAATTTTGCTTTTCCAGGCCTCTCTGTTGCCCACACAAAGGGTACCACTGCATCCATAATTTCGGAGGGGATTTTAACTTGTTCATTCTTCATGTCCTTGATTCCCATTGATTCCTGTAACATATAAACTTGCACTCCCCAGGCATTACTCTGAGGAATATGCACTTGAATTTTGTTTTTTTTCAGAAGTTATCTGTGCTCTCAATTTATTTAGTAAGTCCTGTCCCATTAGAGGTAATGGAGAGTCAATGTTTTATTTCCAATTTCACACATCATAGGCTGGAGAAAGGGCTTAACCTCTCGCTTTCCCGTGGCACCAGCCACCAACATAGAGAACTTACTCATAGGTCCCTTACAGCTATTTAACACAGAATAAGTTGCCCCTGTATCTACCAAATATTTAACAATTTCATTCCCCAGCTTGACTGGAACCAAGGGCTTGGCTGGGGAATTAAAATTCTCAGCCCCCGGTCCCCGTCATTCAAATCCTCTGTACTGATCAGTAGTAAATTGGCCTCAGGGATAGGGCAGAAGGGGGAGACCAAGTCGGTCTTTTCTTCGGACGTTCATTTTTCCACTGTCCCCTTTCTTTACAAGTGGCACACTGGTCAAACCCCAAAGGGGTTCTATTCTCAATGTTTCCCCCCACTCCGGGTCCCCTTCCATGCCCCTGTCCTCTCAGGAAACTGCTTTCCCTAGAGGATGTTTGCACGTGAGTGAATCCTGCTGCTAAAATAGCAGCCTTTTGCTTCTGATCTTTTAGTTTCTCCTTTTGTTTTTCTTTCTTTTCTAACGCTTCTCTGTTATTATACACCTTATAAGCAATCTCAATCAGTTTAGATATTGTCATTCTTGACATACCATCTACCTTTTGCAGCTTCCTTCTTATGTTTGGTGCCAACTGCCCCACAAACAAGGTGGTAAATGTTACTTTGTTACCCTCATCCTCTGGATCTAAATCACTCCATTTCCAAGCCGTTAGGCACAATCTTTCATAAAAAAGCAGATGGGTCCTTACTTTTACCCTGCACCACCTGATACAGCTTTGCAAGTTTTTTGGGTCTGGGGCCTCCATGTTTCACTCCATATAGAATCAACTGTTGATACTGCTTAATCATTAACCATCCCGCTCCCGTATTAGGATCCCAGTCAGGTTCCTGTGCCGACATAAAACGTTCTGGACCATCTCTGGTATTCAACTTAATATTTTCTTCCTGAGCTTTTTCCAACACCATTTTCTTTTCCTCAGGGAGAAGTAAAGTATTAAGTAACACTTGTATATCCTTCCAATCTGGGTTGTGATTCTCAATCATAATTTGAAATGCCTGATACCCTTTTTCTGGATTTTCTCGGTATGATCCAGCAGATTCCTTCCAATTTATCAAATCTGAAGCAGAAAATGGTACCTTTACATGTACTGGCATTCCATCTGGTCCTACTTCCTCACGCAGTGGGTCTTGCAGTACCAGTTTTTGTTGAGCACGAGTCCTACCAGCAATAGGACTGCAAATTTCACCACCCTGTCCCCCATTGACATTACCCTGGTTAGAATCAGAGGGAACCAACAACTGTACATCTTTTTCCTTGTCATTCACTTGTGTACACCTTTTCCCAACAGTACAGGTGGAACAACATCGAGGCAATTGTCTTTTATCCTCCATCTTCATTAACACATTTGAATCAGATACTGATAATTTGCATTTCTTTCTTGTTTCATAATAATTTCTTAAAGCAAAGAACATATCCACATATGGGATTTCATCCCACTTATCTTGCCTTCTGCAAAACAACATTAGCTGTAAAATGGTATTATAATTCAAAGTTCCCATTTCCGGCCATCTTTCTTCATCATCTAATTTATATACCAGCCACCATTAAGTACAGTACTCTTTTAATTTCTTCCTTGTCAGGGGAACCCCACCAAACTTGTTCCAATGTTTTAGGATGCATCCTAATGGAGAGCAAAGGAGAGGCTCTGCAGACTGTCCTGCCCCTTGTCCTGCTACCATATTGCTACCCCAAAAGAACCTTCTTATCCACGCTTTCATGCACTCCAGTCGTCACTGTCAAGCATGCATGAACTTTATAAAATACCTCTATATATACCTTTACTATATACAGTACCCTCCTTGCAATGTCTCTATTATGCATGTCGCACCTTTGTGCCGCTTACTGGTTCCACACAGGGAAAGTACTCGCAGAGTCCCTGAAACAAAAGCTGGAGTCCGAAGAGCAGCTTCTCCCTGTCAGTAGCCAGCAAGTCGATCCGGGCAAGGCTTCACAGCTGTCCCATCTGGGTCGCCAGAAAACTGTTGTCCAAAAAGAGGATTCGTCAGCTGGTGTGCAACGAGCCAATAATCACACACTTAGGAGAGACATTATTTGTTTCATATTTGCACAAAGACGGGTGCTAGGTGGTAATTCCACAAAGCTAACGCACCCTACAGTTAAACAAGCAAGCGATTTATACAGTTTTAGATTCACCCACTTAGTTTCCAAAGTCATTTCCCAAAATCATTATTGGTAGTTGCTTATCTGCCACCATTTCTATTGGGCTGAGGTTTTCTCCACTTCAAATTAAAGGTACAGTGTTCTTTTATTCTACAGTGCATGCTCAAGGAGCGGGGAAGGGGGTAAGTCTTTTAGGTCTTGGATTGAGTCGGTGGCCGTAGTCTCCCCCTGCTGCCTTTACCTTCCCCCCAGTTACTGCAGATGTCCACTGACTTCATGCCCATTATCAATTACTCAACTTTCAGCGCCTTCTGGGGCAGGATGATCCCTTCTTATCCGTCTTTTAATTCTTCTTCGAGGTTCCTCAAGGCCCAATTCCTCCACGATGTCCTTGGTTAAAGAATGCTAGCTGCTTTCTTCTCTGATTACAAATGATTAAGTGTCTTTAGACTGTCAGCTTAATATATACAAAGAACATCTTGCATACAAAGAAACAGATCATTTCACATTTTTAGGTTAATCCTCAACACCCCCTCATCTTAGGTCTTGCTCTGTGGAGAGGTTAGGTAGTTTCTCTTCCTCTTTTTTGTTTGGTGATAAATTGGGAAGGGAACAAAAGAGCAGAGGTGAGCAGCTATGCACCCAGTACAAGTTTCTTCAGAATGGCTGCTGTAACTTCTAAGAGCCATTCCTAGTGTAAGTAAATCTCAGTGAAGAAGTGCAGTATAAACAAAAACTGCGTAGAAGCCTGATTTCTTTCCTGAATGGATATGAATTTTATGTATTTCCTGCCTGGATATGTATTTTGAGTTCTGTTCTATAGTCAGGTTTTAGCGTAAAAGCACTTTGGTTTCCAGAAGAGTGGTACAAATGAGAGACTAATGTAGTGACTGTTCATGTCAGGTTTAGCTTCTGACTGCATGTAAATCCATGTAAAACCAGTCATTATGTGTGTATCCCAGTCACAAAGGGTTTGCTTTTTCTTTTAATGACACACAGTTGTCCTCTGCACGGAGGCAGCGTGTTAACAGTAGTGCTGGAAAGGTTCCAAAGCTGCAACTAGTAATTAAAATCATACCCTGTTACAAAACTATGCACCCTACAGGCCTGTTTAAAAATTCAGGCTACTAAAATGATATCTAGTGTGATTGCCTCTCTATTTGTAATCTTTTATAAATATTTTTTACTATTTTCTGGTTGGCTTTTAAAAAGCTGTCTTGAAGAGGAGGCAGTAGGGTTTTGGGGTTTTTTCTGGGGTTTTTTTTTCTGAGGAGTAATATGAAAAAGTATTTATAAGTATTTCTGCATATTTCATTTCTGGTATGATATCGGTGGTTTAGTATCCTGAGCTATGACTAGGACGTCCTTGTGCTAGGCGCTGTTGAAAAATGCTCTGATCCTGACAACATTCATGTGGCGCAGATAAATACATCCTTTTACTTAGCTGTGAAAACGCATGGTGGTGCTCAATCCTAACATTAATAAGTGCAAAGTGGTAATTTGACTAAGACCATATAATTACAATTCAGACCCCAAACAGCATAATCTTTTCTTTGTACTGAGGAGTTTGTTTCGTGGTGGTACTCTCTGGGTTTACACTGTGGTAAAATAGCAGAGCAAGGAGGAGGGAAAAAGCAGTGGGGAAATTTTAAAGCAAATACACGTTCCCTTTCACCTTGATGTGCACTATGTCCTGGGATGCTCGAGGGTGAAATAAAAAAAGTGACTGCATGTCAAATTGATGCCTGCTGGCTCCCTTCCCAGTGCCTCATGTTCACAGCAAGCATTTCTAAGCATTCTGACGAACACGCTCCTATGCATAACTACTGAAGCCTAGGAGCTCATCTCCTAAATTGCTGTTCATGCTGCATATGAGAGAGCAAAATCCCACTAGTAACTCTGGGGGATGCTAAGTAAGAATACTTTAAAATCATCTTTTAAAGCTGAAAACAATGTGGAAGGCTCAAAAGATTGCTTTGAGAATTAAGAGAAAGATTAGATCACATCTCTATGTGATCTAAGGCGTTAGAAAGCAAAAGGTGATGACATTGCAGGGCTGAGAGGTGCTAAATATTTGTTATACTCAGTGACTTTAATGGTGGAGAGTCAGTGCAGATGTTAATGTGATGCAGATTGTGAATCGGCCAACATCCCAGATTTCAAGATTTTGCAACTTTTTTTTTTTTTTTCCAAATTGCTTTTTGGTTCAGAAAACTCATTTGAATATGTGCCAGTCTGTCTACCCCACTTCGAAATTGAATCCACGTTAGGAAAAAATAGAGAGCAGAGCCCATATTCTCCACTAGGAATAAAAGAATCCTTAAAATACAGCTTGGTACCAATGTATTTTACTCTTAATCTGTTTTATGCTTTTGGTTTCCCCTCTCGACTCTTTTTACTATTTCCTACAATACTTTCTTGTTTTCTACTTTTCCCAGTCCCTTTTCTCTGTTTTATAATTTGTTCTAAGAAGGCGGTAAAAGCAAAGATATCTGAGAATGTCAAACTCTTCAAGTCTTTACTATCGAAGTGGTTCCAGCCCAAAGCAGATGTGTGTGCAAGCCTTCTATGTTGTTCATGACCACTTCAATGTAATACAACAGACAGCATGGTTTGCTGGACACTGCCATCACTGTGCCCTAGAAATATAGCATTTAAATGCAAGCTCTGATTCTGAGTCACTCTGTGACTCTGGGCAAAACACCGAGAGCTGAATTTCCAGTGTTCAATAATGTGGTGTGCTTTAGTAGCTGGCAGCTCAGCTGGAGACATGGAAGTGTCTCAAGTTTGAAATGGAACACATTTTCAAGTTATCACTAATACAGTAAGTCTCTGTCTCAGCTTCCTTATCAGTAAAGTGGAGGTTAGAATAATATTTATATAGTTTCCTTACAGGAGTTTTTTCAGGATTATTTAACTAATGTTGGCACTGTGAGATGCTATAAATACTAGAGGCTTGTACCAGTATACCATATGATTCTCCACTTTCTCAATGCAACTGTTATTCTTCTGCCACTATTCAGCCCAATTATTTTTATTTCATTTACTTCGATTCTTTGTATTCTAGATTATGCCCCACTGGCAAGGGATCTTGGGAGAGAACTGTGATGCTTTTGTTCACCAGACAAAACCTGATTCATCACTTTCCTTACATCACCACCCAGCTCTCTAGCTTCTCAACACAGAGATTGGTATGGCTTTCCTTTAGGTATGTTGTAAATCGCAGCAGCTGTTTATTTGTTTGGAGTCAGCGCTCTCCAGTGCTATGAAAGTGGTAAAAATATATGTAATCATATGCGATATGTAATTATCAGAGATACTGCAGAAGTGGTTTCCTGAAGAGAGTGAAAATAAATATGAAATTAAGAAACTGGAACTAGCTGAGTTGCTAGGAAGAATTCTGAAAAGCAGTGAGAATGAGAGGAAAAATGAGGGTCAATGAGAAGCTAAGTGATGGGGAGAAATTTAGGAAATAGGGTCGCAGATAGGGAAAAGCAGGGAAATTTCCAAGATGGAGCTATGGAGTGGGAGTAGGTAAATCAGAGAAAGAGATTCACTGGCTCTGTTGCTATTGTGGGACCCAGTAATGCTCCCGATTCCTGTGTCTGGGTATGTGCTTTGGTAGGAAATAGCTTATTTGTTCCTTTGTTTAGTGAATGGGATAAAATTGCAAGAAGAGAACACAAAGGCTTTGGGGGCTGGCTGCCATCAGTATTATAAGCCATACACGTGAGGCACCAAATTAGGTTTTGCAGGCAATCTTAATTTTTGCATTATTTAACTTTCGTCTGGCTTTATGCAATGTAACCTACTTGTTAAGACATTCCTTTGCTTTTACCTATATATGTACGAGTATTTTTTGAAACAATGGCTTGTAAAAAAAGCTTCAAACAAAACTGCCCATGTTGTTGTCCACCTGAGGCATGCAACGTCCTTCCATGTCAGTGTATTTTGCTGCTTTTGAGAATTCTCATGAGGGATTTTCTTTGTAAGCAGTTTGGGGTGCTGGCATTTGTCCATCCACATGGACAAATCAAGCTTCCACGCTATCTGAACTCTGAGAAGGTCTTTTGAAAGTTTTAATGAGATGTCACCATAGCGGCCCTCTTCAGTCCTCAGCTGCTGATCACTGAAAGTTTAGAATCCAAGCGCCTCTGTTAATAACGAGAGATAAACAATCATTGAATTCAGAATTCTTAGCCACCCAGTGTCAAATGCAGGAAAGGCTTTTAAAATTCCAGAGAAATGAAGCATAAAGTTGAGGTGCTTTTAAAAAGACATGCCTGACAAGACAGTGGTAATGCCACATACCTGATCTGCCCATTAGAAAACCTGTGCTTTTGTGAAGTAATGCATTTTCAGAATTAAATGCTGAGAGATGATAGAATGAAATAAAAGTGGGGTTCAGTTCTTATTGTTTGCTTGCAAACTGAAGTGAGAACTTTCGGTGATTTGCTACAATACTTTCATGATACAATTACTTCTAAAATAATAATAGAGATTTCCACTCCATCTCCTATAAATACATGTCACTGTCTACAGTTGTGAATATAAATTTGTCTCTCTCTGCTGCTTGCTGTCTTTTTTCTTAGAAGCAGCACTGAAGACAGGCGGTAGGACATACAGATCCTGCACCATCACCCCTGGCCTCAGTCAGCATTGAACCAAGCCCACAAAGAACAGGAGTGACTCATGATTTTTTTTCCATGTACGGCATGAGAAGACAAGCAGGCCCTAGAAATGAAGCTGAAATTCTTATGCCTTATATGACAGCTGGTTCGTACTCCTTGTGATAAGAAGTGGGGTACTGGCAAGTATTAGTGAACAGTGACGCAGTAGTGAGTAGGCTGAACCAGGCAGAACAATGGGGTGGATGGAGGCTGGTGAAGCCATTGTTTTCCCATGTTCTCTGCAGGACTCCAGGGTTGGGAGCAGTCAATTTACCCCAGATACAACAAAAGAATCCAATCATAGTGGCATGGTTAATAAAAAGATGCATGAAACAAGAGCTGCAAGCACTCGTCGTGCAGGGACCTGTTAAATGATAAAGGAGGAAACTAACTGCTTAGGAGAGAAACTCAGGGGATCAGAGAAGCCCTGTGCAGAAGGGTCTCTGTGATCCTTAGAAGACTGACCAGAGCACAAAGTGCTTATGAGTAATAATCACCTGTATATGCATGTCCTAAGTTTGTCTGGATGCGCATATTTGTTCTTTCTAAAGAGAATAATTACTGAGTTGATGAATCCTTGCACAAACTGATAGCTTTAAACTAAAAGCTTTACAATAAAAAAGCCTGTTATTTTTTAAATAGCATTAAAATCTGAAGGTTGTGAAAAATTGTATCAATACGCTGAGCTCCTCTGGGGTACCTAAGCAAAGGCTTCCGTCTGAGAGACCTCCGTCAGCTGTGCCATTTGGTCTCCCTTCTGCTGCATTCTGGGCTGAACGGAGTTTGGGAGAAGACAGGTCCAGCATTAACACCAAATACAACTATCCTAGTATACAGCAGGGCAGAGCCCTACCACAGTTTCAATAAAAGTTAACACAGACTTGTTCAAACTACCTTTTTCTTCTGGTGTTTTGAAAACCTCTGGGTACTCAGACAAGGGTAATTTTGCAAAGCAGAATGTGGACAGACACCCAAACCCCTTATTTTAATATCTCTACTTCATAAAGACATTGTGTTGAGGCCACGGTTGTTAATACCTAATGTCTGTGAATGCTCCGGTTCTCATTAGAGGTGGAAGGAAAAAAGCAATTAAGTTGGCTGGCCCAACCCTTGTGAACTACAGGATTTTCCAGTTCACTATTCCCTCATTTCTCACTGCAACAAAGTTTTTTCATGTCCCAGACAAGGTGGCTTTGTAGTTTTTCAAATATTAAGGTAAAAAACAGTACTTCTCTTGGGTCACAATTTTTTCCTTAGCACCTACGAATGCATGCTAGGGCCTGGCCACGCAACCTTTACAGAATGAGTAAATGTTAGTGAGACTTTTCACGCAAAGGCTGTGAGCACAGACTGCGAAGCGTGAGCTCCTGCACGGGGGACTGTGCTGTGAGGGAGCTGCCCCTAGTACAGGTCTCCAGCTGAAAAATGACAGTGCAGAAGAACAAAAAGTCTACTATTTTTCTGGTTGATCTCACAACAGAGGTTGTTTTCCCACAAATAGGGTTCATTTACCTGGTGTGCAAGCCAACAGCCCACAGAGTTGAGGTATTTTCAAATTAATTTCATTGATGCGCATGACTGGGTGCCTGTCTCAAGACTGCACACCCTTGTCTCGAAAATCTCGCATTTATACACTCAACTAATACCTATTCATTATTATTTTCCTTAATGATTGGTTCTTTCTATCTTCGCTCCTCATGTAAATTAGTTGCGCAGACTCTGTCTTCTTCCTCCATTGTCTTCTTTTGAGCAGGTGGTGTCATTTGAGTAGGTGGTCAATGAGTCGGTGGTCACAATCTCCCCCTGTAAGAATTACCTTTTTCTCACTTCTTCCCCAATCTTGGCAGTTCCAAACAGTTCTTCAAGATTTATTGACCTGACCACAATCCATTACCTTTTCTGACATAAAGCCTCATTGTCTAGTAGTTAGTTCCTAAACCCTAAATCATGCCTAGTTATTGTTCCCTATTTTAAATATTAACTGATGGGGGCTGTATACAGGACTTTAGCAGCTCCCTGGTTATTTCAATCATATTGTACTTATTAATTGATAACAAGGTGACTATAGAGTCTGAAGTACACCGCTGGAAAAAAGTCAGCCTTAGTATTTGAAATTAATACAGCATTTTGTGTTCCACAAGGCCAGTAGAGAGTATTATTAAAATAGCAGAGCTGCCTTTTAAACATCTGCCCAGACACTACCTCAAATTTTGCTGACCGACTCTTGTGAGTCATCTTTCAGGCTTGCAGCTGCCCTGACAAGTCTTTCACATCCCGGGAGGGTCCAAACCCAAACCAAAACTAAAACCCTGGTCTGCCATCGGAATTTAAACCCAAACCTCCGCCTTTTGGGGAGGGGCGGGAGAGGGTAACAGCGTGCCGAAAGGGCGGCTGGCGCCGCGCTGCCTGGCAAGGAGCCCTCTCCGCGGCGCGCAACTGCGCGCAGCCTCCCCAGCCAAATTCCGACGCCCCAACCGGCGCTTTGTACCCAGAAGTGTGCTTTTTCACTCAAAATGCGCGTTCTGCCCGCCCGCCCGTCACTCCCGGGGACACGGTCGCAGCGGGGAGCAGCGCGGCGGTGGCGACCCGCTGCTCAGCGCGGGC